ATAGGGCGTTCTGATGGCCTAGTCCATAGGGAGCTGTGCTTTGTAAGCCACGGGTGTATAGATCATACTATCCACCCCACAGGGCATCTGTGAAGATGAAGTGAGTTATTTCATAAAGCCTGGCCCCGAGTAAGCATGAGGGAAACATCTTCTGTGATCAATTCTGTTTTGCAAATGGGGAAACTGAGACTGGTTGGACAATTGCTCAAAGTAACCAACTCTTCATGGCCAGGATTTCACTCAGACCCTCTGGCTCAAGAGCTGTTGTGTTTGACCTTGGTCATATGTGCCTCCCAAGATACTGGAGGGGGTCATTTGGAAAGTCCTAGAGGTGACTGTATTCTCCTGGGGAGGGTTGTCCGTGGGTTGCAGAGGAAAAACAAGGAGCCAGTGCAGTGGGAGCAGGTGGCTCCGGTGTCTCTCACTCTGGCCCTGGACACTCGGGTCCCTATCGGCGCCCTCTCTGACCCGGTCCCTGGAGCCCCGGCATTTCCCTTGGTGCCAGGGGATTGTTTTCGGCTCTGTCTGGGCCCGCCTCCGGCTCCAGGAGACAGGCCCGGGCGTCATACTCCCTCCTGTCTCCCCATTCTCGTCTGCGGGGTGGAGGCGGCCAGGATTCGAAAAGGCCCCAAAATAAATGGACCTCTTATCTGATCTCCCAGCCTGGCCTGTTATCTGATCATTACATAATGGCCAGGCCAGTGGCCTCTCCCGCTGACGGCATGGAGGAGGTGGCCCTAGGCTGCCCTGGCAATCCGGGAGGAACTGGGGTTCCTGGAAGTCTGGGGAGGGGGCAGGGAGAGCTTGAAGGGAAAGAGGGAGACACTGTGCTAATCTGCGGGCCAGAGGTGGGAGCAAAGCAAGGTTGGTCAGCCATGCACAGGGGGACTTTTGCCTCAGTCTCACCGTTTGTACTGAGAAGGTTGTACTTGACTACAGCCTGACAGGGGGTGGAGAGGGTGGGAGTTCTGAGGAGACTGGAGGGGAAAAAAACGGATGAAGCCTGCTGGAGAGGGGCTCTGCCCTTGAGTTTACTGTGGTGCAGAGTCTGTTGGCCTGCAGATAACAGTGATCTTCTTCCTTCCAGAGGACCTTTCCCCTTCTCACCACATGACCCTGCCTCTAAGACAGTTGATGCCTCTCTAATAAGAGATTTGTAGATTTAATAATTATAATACTTAATAATTATATATTTTTTAAACCAGTCACTGTTGAGTTGACTCCAACACATGTCAACCCCATGTGTATCAGTAGAACTATAAAAAGGGCTTCCAGAATGAGGTTGCCAGGCCTTTCTCTTGATCTGCCTCGGCCTGGATCTGGGCCTCCATCCTTTCTGTGCCAGGCACCTTCACTGTTTGTACTCCTCATGGGTTTAACTGTTATGCAATATACAATATTTATTGCTATAAAAATTGTCATGTGCCCTGTCTGCTGGAGTTCTCCCAATAACCTGTGAGAATTCTCTTCCATCTTTACAGATGAGGAAACGAAGGCCCAAAGTAGTGAAATGTTTCCCCCAAGTCACATCACCAGTAAATACTGAGCCTGAGATTCAAACTCAAGTTTATCTGATTCCAGAGACCTTACTTCCTTTTTTCATAAAAAAAGACTATGACCAACATTTGTCACATCAATAATTTTCCTGTGGGGGAGCTCTGGTGGCCTAGTGGCAAGAAGCTGCACTGCAATCCCAGAGGAACACGGTTCGAATCCACCAAACACTCTGCTGGAGAAGGAGGCGCAATATCCTCCTGTACCAGTCAGATCTGATTTGACGGTACACGCACACAAAATAAAAAAAGTTTTAAAAAAAATTTTCCTGTGAATAGCTCAGTGCACTGAGCACCTCGATGAGTATAATTATCATCTGCTTCAGATTTCCCCGTCACCCAAGGGTCTTTTAACCACAGCATAGTTTGTCCTGACTCTCTGGAGTTCCTGTCACACTCAGGGAAGAGCTAGACAAGCAGTGTCTAAGGCCTGGACTTCCACAGTGGGCAAATTCTCTGGTCCTGATCTTATTCATCCTAAGATAGAGCTGGGAGTAGGGGGTGCTGCTGCTGTATTAAGGGGTAGCCATCTCATGTCCTTCTCTGACCTCTAGGGGTCCTTTAAGGGTGGAGATTAGAAGGCTGCATTGGGCATAAGACAGTCCAGGGTTCAGAAGACGCCTCCCTGCCCCCTCTTCTGAACTGGCGTCAGTTGGACGTGAGTCCAGTCCCTCCACGCCCATCTTTGATCTCCAAGAAAACAGGAAGTGAGCGCGACAAGATGGAGACACAAACTTCCAAACAGTCTCCCCTTCTCTATCCTCCTTCCCTCCTCCAGAGCCCCCCTCCCCCCTGCACATTCCTTAGGACGAGGTGTAGGGGCCTCATTTCCTCTTCCTCTTCTGCTGGGTCAGGGTGAAATTCCATTCCCTCCTCTCAAGACTTGTTTCCGGCTGCTGGGTGGCGGACTCTGTGGTCTACCCCAGTCCAGGCCGCTTCCCTCCTAACCTGAGCTGTCCTCTTGCTCACCCTGTTCTCTTGGGGACAGGAAATGACAACCCTCTTCGGACCACAGGCCATTCTTCCCAGCCTCCCAGAGGCACAAGAGGGGAAGCTTTGTTTCCACATCTCAACTCCCACCTTCCTTTGGAGGGAACCAGGCTTGGAGGCCTGGGCTTGCTGTGGGCCCCACCTTGCAGTGAGAGTTGCTATATTTAACAAACAGAAATGTGTTGTTGCTGTTATGTGCTGGCCCAGAGACTCTATGACCCTATGAAATGTGTTGCCTTGTGCCTTAGAGTCGAATCTGACTCATTGCTGACCCTCCACACAGAATTGCTAATCTTTCTCCTGAGGAGCAACCTGTGGATTTGAATGGCATGTCTTTGGGTTGGCAGTGCAAATTCTTACCACTACGCCACCAGGTGCCATCGAGTGGACTCCGACTCATAGCAACCCTATGAACAACATATCTGAACCCTGTCCTATCCTGTGCCATCCTCACAATCTCCGACACACCTGAATCCATTGCTGCAGACACTATGTCCATCCATCTGGTATTCTGTGTTCCAACTATTAAAGGATGTCTGTGGCTGTTTCTTCTTTCTTCTGTTTCTTCTTTTTTTTATGGACTTCCAATCTGGGCTCTGCCTCTAATACTATAATATCCACATTCCTCTATTATTCATAGGATTTTCACAGGTCTGCTATTTCAGATGCGGATGGCCAGTCCTATTTCCGAGTCTATTTTAATCTGGGAGCTCTACTAAGATCTGTCTCCTATGGATGACCCACCTCTGGAATTTGAAACACTAGTGGAACAGCTATCACAGCACCCACAAGATATTTCAGTACAGCCATCAGATCGCCCTGTAATTAAATTTGAATTTAAGATTGAATTTAAAATACAGTGAATGTATTTTAGTATAAATATGGCTCAAGTACTGCAGGAGTACCGTACTAAACAATTACTCATTGTTTCTCTGAAATTCAAGTATAACTGGACACTCTATATTTTATCTGATAATTGGAGGCACGTTTCTGAGGCTTCGTCTGACATACTTTGGGCATGTTTCAAGGAAAGACATCATGTTTGGTAGGGTGGAGGGACAGCTCAAGGAGGAAGACCCTTGAGATTAATTGACTCAGTGACTGCGGTAATGGGAATATGTGTATCAGAGACAATAAGCTTGGCTCAGCATAGAGCAGGGTTCAGAGCTGTTGTACACAGGGTCTCTATGAATCACAAGGGACTAGATGGTACATAACAACAACAATAACAACAATCCTATACATAGTAGCAATGTGACCCTGGGCAAGTAAAGTCTTTCTCCTCCCTGAACATCAGTTTCTTTATCTATAGAATGAGCATATAGAGGGAGCTCTTGTGGCCAAGTGGCAAGAAGCTGCACTGCAATCCCAGAGGTATGCAGTTCGAATCCACCAGATGCTCTGCTAGGGAAGGAGGGGTAATCTCCTCCTGTACCAGTCAGATCTGATTTGATGATACACACACAAAAAAAGAAAATAAAATAGGTGTATAGGTAGTCATCAATTTATAATGATTCCAACCTATAATTCTCCATTATTTTTTATTTTACTTTTTATATGTCCTTCAACATGGCAGCATGTAATTTTCTGACGTTATTATTCACTGATGTTCACTTGTAGACGTTTATGTATAATGTTTCTAAGATCCCCCATATTGAATTTTTAAAGTACCTTATAATAAAAGGTGAGAATGAAAACAAAAAGAACTTAGCATCTAGAACAGTGTATATCTGGAAAATGGGAGAGGAAAAGTAGCTTGGATGATTAATGGGGCAAATAAGTCCGTGGCTTATTTGACAAGGAGTTAGCTACATAGCTTTGAATACAGTTTCAAGTATAATGTCACCAATGTTAACTAAATGAACCAATATGCACTATTAATTTGATATAGACCTTATAAGGAAGAACAGAAATCCATTTCCTTTTTTACATTCCATTAAAGGCAACAAAGACAATCATTAAAGTAAGAAAGTCAGATAAACTTTGTGTTTCAGTAATTTTTAGAGGAAAAATTAAAACCATTGTCAGAAGTAAAAAAAAAAAGAAAACAAAAAGAACAAAGAGGTATTTTACTTCAGTCAGAACCAACTTTATGACAGTCATTGAGATGGACCCCTTTTGTAAATCAGAGACACTTACTGTGTGATGTGGGATCAGTTCTGACTCTTATCGACCCCACAAGACAGAGCAGAACTGCCCCATAAGGTTTTCCAGGTACCATAGCTTTCTCTCAAACAGAGGCTCCTGGGTTCCAACTGCCTAACTTTCAGTTAGCAGAAGAGCACATAATCATGGTACCATGAGGGCACCTTGGTCAGGAACTACTTCTACTTACACTTCATAAAATAGCAGTGAAGATTCAGCAAAGCCCTTAGCCTGTGCCCAGAAATGTTCAGAAAGTGAAAGCAATTGTCAGCACTATATTCTTATCTGGTCCTTACTGTGCTTCCTCCACAGGTCTTGCAGAAACAGTCCATTGTGACCTACAGCCTGTGGATCCTAAGAAAGGCCAGGTGACATACACTATGAGCCAGGTCTCGGAAGGCTGTGTGGCCCAGGTTCCCAATGCCACTCTGGAAGTTCATGTGCTCTTCCTGGAGTTCCAAAGGGTGAGTGCACCATGACAGTGTCAGGTGGGGCCCTGGAGAAGCCCCCAAGGAATGAAGAAAGCCCTCCTGTGGTGGGACCTGGATGGACTGTGGTTGTCTCGTAGGGCCTACAGGGATGGCATTTCTGGGGCAGAGCCTAGGATCATGAAGGAGCAATATTCTGGTGTCCTTACAAGTCCTGGGTGGGAAGAGTCCACTCAGAGTTTGGGAACCAGGTGGAGTGTGGAGCAGAGCCAGGTGGGAGGCAGAGCTCACCAGGTGAGCCACTGCTGACAGGTGTTCATACACCTCCAGCTTCCAGGCTGGTTGAGACTCAGCTGTGGAATAATCTCCCACAGCTGAGCCCCAGTCAGGTTGTCTCAGTCTTTCTTAATACTAGACCTTGGCTGAGCTTCTGTCATGTGCTAGGTACTGTGCTAGGAATGGAGCTGAGGGTCTGACGTGTACCAAGGACCAGCATCTGTAACTATACCCACTTTTTGGAGGAGGAAACTGAGGCTAGCCTAGAGAGATGAAGCAACATGCCAAGGTCAGAAATCAAACCAGAGTCTGGACACTCCGCAGCCAGGCTGTTTCTGGGCTCTGCAAAGAGTTTCAGGTTGACTTGCTGTCTGGCTGGCCTGGGCTGAAGGTCATACTTGATGTGATCGTAGGTCCTGATAGCAACTTCGTGGTGTTGACTCAGGATGGTTTTGTGGCCTTCAAAGTTGTTCAAAACTGTCCTATGTTAGGGCAATAAGAAGGTGCCCAGACCCCCAGGATCTGGGGGCCTCACCCCCACCACCTACCATAAGGACTGTGGGCCTTCATAATTGCCCAACCACAGATAGGTGCCTAACCACAGATAACCAAGTGCATTTTTGTAGACAAGCATTATAATGTCTTCAAATTTGGTAATAATATGAAAAATAAGATTTCCTTCTTTAAGTTCTGGTTTTCCTTCTGATATTCAGGTCCCTGGACCTCCTCTGGGTGACTAAGTTCTCCCTATCCTAATCATTCAACAGCTGGGCCACACTCCAGAAACTCTGGATTCTATGAGACTTTTACATTCTCGGCCTCATTTCCCCCATTTTGATCAGGATTCTTCTCTGTAGAGTATCACATTTGGCCTCACTGTGACTTATGCCTTATCAGCATGGTTCCTGTCCTTAATGAGCACCCAGGTCTATGGGATACAGGTGTGTAGGTTGCTCAGATTCAGGTGATTGGTGATGGTTCTGGCGAACAGGGCACTCCACTTTTTTTGAGATTAGGCAGAGCTTTCCATTGCAAGCAACACCCAGAATGACAGCCAAGAGCTTACCCAGAGAAGATGGCCATGGGGAAGAGCAGACAGTGTAGTGCAGGCAGAAGGAATGGGCCTCCATGGGGCCAAGCCACAGTTCCCTCACGAACTAGAGAGATGGGAAAGGCCCCCAGTGCCATTTTAAGGAGCTTGGGCTTTATCTGATAGCAGGGTCAGTTCTTGGAGGACTTTAAGCAGGGTCATGACAGAGTGCCACATCTAATTTTTAAATAATTTTGGTTTTTTGTGGTTGCAAATAAACACAGTAGAATGTGTACCATCTAACATTTCCTACATGGACAACTCACTGGAGTCAGTTACTGTGAAAATTGTACAACCTTTCTTACCCTTCTTTCCAGAGTTGTTCCTCCTCCACTAATTTACATTCACTGTTTTCCTAAATTTCCTATTTAATCCTGCACGTTTCTGTTGTTAATCTGACCCCATATACATATTTCTTTAAAATAATACTTTGTGCACGGCAGATATTTTTTTTTACTGTTTAAATTAAACTATTGTTTGACTTGAAGACCTCAAGGGATGTTTTTGGTTTAATAATTCTTTCTGGGCAGTAGTTTGAGGAGTTTGTCCAGCCTCAGTAGCTCCAGAAAGTCTGGATTCTGTGAGAATGTGAAATTCTCTGCCTCATTTCTACAATTTTGATCAGAGTAGAATGCCTTTATACAGGGTATCACACACATTTGACATCAGCATACCTCATGCCTTATTCCAAGAGTCCTGGAGCCCATGGCCCTCGAATCTCTGTGCCACCCTCTTCCTTTTTCAGAGAGCTCTGTCTACAGGATATCCACCTTCTAATTCAAGGAGCCAGACTTCTGATGTCAGGATATTCAGGGGCATTTATCTGAAGAGGTGTGGAAAACTGAGGTTCAGGAAATGCCAGTCCTCATTTGTCACTAGGATGCCCACCTAACATCTGCTCCTGTCCACTCCCCAAGAGACATGTTTCTTGGACACACCTAGTAATCAGAGTATCTTAATCTTGCCCACTGGCTAGAATATGCTAAACAGATGGTTCTTGACCTATGAATGCTTACTGTGTACACTGCTTTATGATCTTGGTGGGGAATTTAGAACCAGACAAGCCTTCATTTGGATTTTGGGCCCACCCCTTGCTATGTATCAAAGAGCTGGACAATGACCAAGGATGACAGAAGAATTGATGCCTTTGAGTTGTGGTGCTTGAGTATTGATCATCAAGAGTATGGATCACCAAGAGAACTAACAGGTCTGTCCTAGAGAGGATGAAACCAGGCTACATCTTGGAGGCAAGGGTTTTGAAGCTCCATTTCACAAATTTTGAGCACGTGACCAGGAGGGACTAGTCCTTGGAAAAGGACATCATTCTCAGAAGGGTAGAGGGACACAGCAGGAGAGGAAGACCCTAGATGAAATGGATTGACACAGTGATTGGGGTAATGGGGGTGGGTGTGTTAGAGATAGTGAAACTGGCTCAGGACAGGGCAGGGTCCAGAGCTGTTATACATAGGGTCGCTATGAGTCGCAGGTGACTAGATGACACATAACAACAACAACTTACTGGCTAAGGAGCTCTGGTGGTGTGATGTGTAGCAAATTATGCTGCTGATTCAAAAGCTATGGTCTCCCACCATGTGAATCCATCAGCCGGATGGGCAGTCTCTTCCCTTCACATTTTACAACCTTGGAAACTCTACGGGGGTTCACTGTGAATTAGAACTGGCCTACTGGCAGCAAGTGAGTGAATGACTTACTGCTTGTGTCACCTTGCTGAGCCTTGGTTTTTATGTCAGGAAAATGGGGATGAAAACAGATCCTGCTTGCTGGGATTGTGAGATCTTAATGAGATAGTAAAACCAAGCTCACTGCCATCCAGTCATTTCAGAGGCTGACAGAAGAAGACTACTTCATCTTTCTCCCCTGGTGGGTCTGAACTGCTGACTTTTTGGTTCTCAGCCCAACACTTAACCAGGCTTCTTCCAGCGCAGTAATACAGGCAAACACTGAAAGCTCGGAATGGCTGTCATTCAAAACATGGAAGCTGCTTTTGTTATGTACTTCTTTTCGTTGGGTTCCATTTTGCACCCATCAGTTCCCTCATTTTACAGCTTACTAAGCAGCCTCAGAGAAATGACAATAGTTATAGAAAGGCTTCAGACCTTTAACTCATAGGGCCAACTACGAGTCATGCTCAACTCGATGACAATCATCAACAACAAGCATATTCACTTTGGGTGAGGGATTTGGTGCTTAAAGAGAATCACTACTATGTGAGTGAGGTGAGGGCTGTGAAGCCATTTTCAGAGGGGCCGACTGAGGCCTAGCCATGACGTTGACTGCCTACTGGAAGTTTTTGTGCGAGAAAGAGCTAGGCTAGGCCTCCCAGTTGCTTCTGGCCTCCTGCCCTGAGGTCTGAGCCTGGGGTCCCACCTATCCCTGCCTGCTCCTTTAACCACTGAGGACTCCATCTTTTCCTGAGAGGTGCCTTCATCTCCAGACAGCCTCAAGAACAGAGTCTCAGCCCAAGAGTCCCCCTCAAGATAGACCTGCTCTGTGTCTTGTCAGTGTTGGATGCTGAGGATGCAGAGAAAAGAGCCTGAGGGCCTTGTCTCAAGCCACTGACAGTGCTGGTGTAGAGTGGTGGAACCAGCAACTGGGGGTCTAGAGTGGGGGAGCAGACACTGAGTGTAGAGGGAAGGGAGTATGAGGGGAAAGCCCCTCAGTGTCCAGCTGCACCTAGAAGGGATCCAGGGTATTCCAAGCAGAGGGGATGGCATGAGCAGAGACCTAGCAGTAGGAAGCAGGGATTGGCTGAGGGGGCAGCATGTGTGTGTGTGTGTGTGTTTTGTGTGGATAGTGGGGTTGCTGGCACAGCATTTCGACCTATGGCTGCTTTCTTCAAACCTTGGCAACTGAGAAATAGCTTTCCCATCCATCTTTGCATGACCTCAAATCCTCCAACTTCCTGTGAGTAGGTGGCAGAAGAGCTGAGCTGCAGCCATCAAGAACTTCGGGCACAGCGTCCCTTTTCAGCAGGAAGTAGCTAAGAGAATACGCCATCCCCTTTTCCTTATGACTCAGGGTGAAGTCTCTCTCAGGGAGGAGTGATAGGGAATGGCAAAGGACACACTGACAAAGAAGATTAATCAGAACTGGCTTTGACAAGCACTGTGGCATTTGGACAAGAACAAACTGGGAGGAGGGTAGAGAGAATAGTGCAACAATGAATGAATGGAAACACAAAATCTCTGTAAATGTTTATGAAAATTAATAAAATATAGAAAAAAAAAAGAACTTCAGGCAAGAGAGATTCAGTGTCATGTGTGTGTTGGGGAGGTCTGCAGACAGAAGAGGGGGCCTCTGGGCAAGGGCTCTAACTCACTGGGTCCCCAAAGGGCAGGCCGGAGTCTGGATTCTGGGAGGAGGCCTAGGGTCATATCCTGACCCACAGAGACAGGAAACTGGCCGGGTGTCTTGACGGTTCCCGTTATGCTGACTGCTCTGATCTTCCGCCTCCTGGCAAAACCCTGAGCAGTCAGGCTGGGGCAGAGCTGAGGCAACTGCTGAATCAGCGCACTAATTGGGAAATTTAGAGGAATCCAGAGAGAACCTGCCCACCAGGCAGAGCCTGCCTGACCTTAGGATTGACCAGCTGCTGGTCAGAGGGACAAGAAGTCGGCCTGGGCAGGCAGAGGAGTTATGATGAGCCCCA